AGTATGGAAGTTGTTTAATGATCATTGGTTATCATTATCTGCTTAATCATATGTTTGCTCTAGTTTAGGTGCAAATCTAGTCGACAGGTTAATAATAATTAACTTGACAATAATGCTTTTAGAAAGGTTCTTGAAATGCTAAAAATGCTTCTTTTGCAAATGAGTCAGCTACCCTACTATAAAGCCCTTCATAATTCTTGGTGTCATTTATTTTCGGTTATGTCGGGTAAGTCTAGCTGAGTACCTTCTCGTACTCAGGGTTTTATTCCCACTTGTTGCAGATGGGCAGATGTATTACGGCTACTGTATCAACTACCTTTATCCTACGATGGGTGATGCTTAGGACCATGGGCATGGTCATTCCTTACGTCTCGTCTAATGCTTTTGTTGGAGATGATCATTCGCTGGCACTATATTTGAACTCCGCGTGAGTGTGTGTGGTTTGAACAAATGGCTTCCGCTACTTTTATTTGAACTGGTTTTGTAATAACTATGTTGAAACTCTGATGTATCTGAGATTACGAACTTTTATGTAATATGTGATGGTGACCGCTAAACTTATTACGATCTTGGCTGGAATGGAAGTTGGTTTGAAATCCTTCGTGATTTCACGGACTACCGGGTTATACGGGCTTAAGTTTGCTAAATTGTCTGCTCTGACGGATGATTTTCTTACTTAATTTCGTATAATTGGTCGGTTCTGTTACAATATCCAATAATATGTTCCTCTTAAGGTAGCCTATATAAAAAGCAGTGTAACATTTCCCCTGTCTTGAAAACAAGGTCACTACACTTGCTACGTGAGAACTTGTTCATACTTTTTTGCTCTTCTTTCTCAATCTTTTTTCATGTTAGTCTTCAGAAATGTTTTAAGCTACAGTATTATCACCCTGACCAATATATATGAAAAGGTAGAGTCTAATAAATATAAATAGAGGGCCTAAATAAACATTCGCGTTAATCCTCACAGATGGTGCTGGAAAAATTATAAATCCTAAAAATTCTTAAAATGATCAAAAACATCTAGCCTTTAATATGTTAGAGTCTAATCATCATCGCTAGCTAATAATAACTATCGGATTGTCTATTTATATCTATATCTATATCTATATATCTACGTCTATACCTATATATCTCATAATTGTAAACCCCCACTAGCCTTCTATCTTCAAAGTACGACACCATCCACTAAAATTTATTTATAATGATTTGTCACTCCATGCAAGTAAATATAAGTTGTCTAAGTTAATTTCAAATCATTCATGATTCCCGGGGTTCATTCTAGTTCTGTTTTATTAAAAAATACCAACCAATGCCATATGAAAAATACATAAAATAACTCCCTCTAGACCACCATTACCCCATCACTATTATCTACTCTCGCTGTTCCAAATCATGAGTCGATTTGACTTTTTGGTTCATCTATTTTGCTATGCATCTATATATAATAATATGTCTAGATATATAGCAAAATAAATGAACCAAAAAAGTCAGAATGATTTATAATTTGGAACAGATGGAGTATCTCATTTCAAGCTCTATCACTGATCTTGAGTAACATGATGTTGATTTAGATGACAATTTATGTTATTGTAATAGTTGAGAGTGCAGTGACCTAAATTTTTTATTTTTAATAAAAACAAAATGAGAGTTAATAATATAAATTGAGCACAATATTTTTATTAACTTAAGGATAAAAATCTATAGCAACCGATAGGATCAAAATTTGGAAAACCAAAATCAAGATTTATGACATCATAAGATTACGTCTCTTAAAATCTTAGCCGGCCAGTGAGCATGAGTTGATGTACTAGTGACAATACAACTTGGTGGGCGATGCAGAAATTTCATGTTACCATCTTTGTTTGGCCGTTCTTACTGAACCATCGAACTTTACACATCGAATCCGATCCGGACCACGTGCACAAGAGCATGAACACGCCAGCACAAGATCATGAATCACGACGTCGAATTACGGAATTTAGGCGAGACGTCGTTGTCGAACTACAGAAAGCAGCCTCGTACCTTATCAGATCCGGCGGCAGCTTTGCCTGTAACGGCATTGTTTAGATGCATGTGTATTCATCTCAATCAAATATGTAAGAGTGAAATAGAATGAAATTTAGTTCAATTCTACTCTAATCAACTTTAATCCATGTAAATTGTGATAAATACATACACATCAAACAAGGTCTAAGGAGAAGCCAAAAACTCGTGTAAATTTCGTCTCTTGACAAAACAAAACGTGAAAGATACATACACTGCACTTTGTACCTGCAGCTGTATCGGCTTGGCATGAAGAGCTTTTCCTTCGTATCCTCTCAAAGCATGGTATCTTTTTGCCGTATCAGAAAAGAATGCTTTGGTTAGGTTGAGGACAATGTAGATGTAGGTAACAAACCGTAGACTCTACTGCATCTCTATTCTATCTACCCCTATATCCGGTTCTTGGAATCTCGGTGGTGTGGTGGTGGTGGTTCTCAAGAGAGCAACCTCCTCATCCGCATTTCTGGATAAGGTCATAGCCTTTCCATGCCCTACTCCTATCCTACACATGCTTTTGCCACCGAGGAGCCAGACCAGTTTGTCATTCTGCAATTAAAGAAGTGTTTTTTTCTTCAAGATCATGCTTCCAGTAGTTTTTTTTTTCTTTTCTTTTCAGGCAATCAAGCAGCTCCGGTTTGCAGGAACTGTTGTTAGCGGCCAATCACATATTTTCCTTCTGAGGAAAACTGAACCACACGATGAAGCCACATATTGGGGAGACAACAACCATAAAATTTTGAATGATCTGTTATCTTGCGAATAAATTTGTATGGCCAGTTATTGCTGAAGTTTCTGAATCAAGCAGCAGGGCAACGTGCGTGCACAAGACCATCGGCTGACTGAATTATTCAACAATTGTTAGAAAGGGCAGTGCTGCACCTTTCACTTCCTACCATCCTCAGCCTAACTTGGTGCATGACTGCTTCAATTCCAATCTTATCTGAATATATGTCTCTACGACTCTAAGCACCGCACTACCTTAAAAGGTTGGTTGACTCGTCTTCACATGCATCACCGCTTTTCATGACCACAGATTTGTCTATATCAAATGGAAACACTATTAATTATAGTTTCATAACTAGTTATAATTCCTTTGATTTGATAAAAGCATTTCCAGTTCAGATCGGTTTTCAAATCAACGACGAGCCGTTCTTCGCTTCTGCCTCTTGTTGATGACCCAAACATAACTGTAGGGTTAAATCCAATTTACACCCTCCAACTTGCAGCAAAGTTCGGATTTCAACCTCGAACTTCAAAACCGGACAATTTTGGCCCTCCAACTCTCGAAAAAGTTCAACTTTCAACCTTCTGGACGGTTTTGCGGATGAACAGTAACTTTTGATATTTTTGGGAGCGCCGAAATTTTTATTATTTTTTTTTTGAGCATCTTTTGTCGCGATGAGACTCAAATTTTAAAAAACTAGAAAACCTTCAATATGTAGATCTCGCCGAAGATAACAATTTACATATAAAATTGTATCTTCATCCGATCATCAACTTGAAGTTTTGAGTTTTTTAATTTGAGGACTCATCAGCTCGAAAAAATATGGTCTTTCATCACCATTTTTTATTATTTTTTGAGACTCAAATTTCAAAAATGAAAAAAAACTCAAAACTACAAAGTTGTAGATCTCATCGAAGATAATTTTACATATATGTAAATTATCTTCCTCCGATGAGATCTATAACTTGAAGGTTTTGAGTTTTTCATTTGAGGACGCAATTTTGATGCTCGTGAAGATAATATAAAATTTCAGCGCTCCCGAAAATATCAAAATTTACTGTTCACCCGCAAAACCGCGAAGGTTGAAAGTTGAACTTTTTCGAGAGTTGGAGGGCCAAAGTTGTCCGATTTTGAAGTTCGAGGTTGAAATCCGAACTTTGCTGCAAGTTGGAGGGTGTAAATTGGACTTAACCCTAAACTGTAACTGACCTGGGCACTGTCAATGAAAATGTCCCAAACACAGAGAGAAGAAGAGGATGAAAAGATCTCCTTGAACTCCAAACAAGATCACCTATTTTCCTAATAATTCCTCACAAATTATCTATGGCGATATGTGGACACCTTTGTCCTGATCCGGCCTCAGGCACGCCATACATGCAAGTTGCAAGCCTCCAAGTCCCAAGATGTGGACCAATGGCTGCGTATCCTGTAGCGATCTCGATCTAGACAACTGAATTAATGAATTATCAGGCGGCATGTGGTGGGCATCCCTTGCTGGACAAAGAAAGTATATGACCATAAAATGAAAAATCTATAAGCAGCTTCTGTAAATGATGCTCAAATATCTGTCAATACTCGAATAATTCCCATTTTTTGCCGTCTCATGCGAACAATAGATTTTTAACATGAAAGAAAGGGCACCAGAGAAAGAATCGAAGGAACGTGGGGTTGCCAAATGCCAAATGATCAGGATGGAGTCATGCCATGAAAGCGTCAATTTATTAGTGTAGCATCCATGCAGCAGTTGCCATTGGCAATGCAAATGCATAGGCTGGCATGTCTGTACCTTCGATGCAGATTTGATGTATATTCAACTGCAACTAGGAGAGATGGGTGTCCCTTTCATAGGTGACGTCTAGTACCAAAGCAAGGATAGAGCTCCAGCTCATGATTTTGATCATGTGATCAGTTCTGGCACTGGCTTTGTTTCTACCTACTCAATTAAGTAACAGTAACTTTGCATCCTTGAAATCCGAAGATGTGAAAGAAAGGCTCTTGCCTATATTAAGGAGGATAAAACAGGTTGTCCCAGTGAGGCAAATGATGTAGATTGCACTTGTACAGCCTAGCCTCTCTGGATTCACAACATGGAAATTTACAAACAGCTCAGCCTTAATCCACATGCAACCTCGTCACATTCAGTCTCCTGCTCAACAACTATGTTTCATAATGGATACAAAAAGAACCAAAACAGATGTACACTACATAAAATTTACAGGGCAAGAGCATTTCAGGCGTCGACAGCACTTAGGGGGGGTACAGATTTTGTTCTCGGGAGATTTGGCGGCAACTGAGCTCCAGTATAGTAGCGCCTCGCTGTAAACATATAATCCGGGCTGCTCCCAGATGCATTGACCTCACAATGCCGGGCCCTTTGGGCTCCTGGATCGGGGTGCCTGCTATGCCATACTTGGCTGTTCAAGTCAGAATGATAATCCATACTTGCTTTACCTGGGCTTGTTGTTGGTACGCGGAAACTGTGGTTCTTTCCAATATGGAAAGATTGCAGTTTGTTCAGTGAAGGCTTCATCCTATTTACTCCATATGCATTGTCAAAGTCAAGAGATGGATGGATAGCCTTCTTTAACTGTGCCATTTTCCGTGCTTTGTACTTGGCAATCTTTACCTCATGCTTCATGTCGAACCCATTTGTGTGATGGTTAGTGTCATTCTCGTAATGGTTAGATGAACATGATTGCTCTTGAAATGAACTGAAGCAAAGCTGACTAGAAAGATCTCTTCTACCCATCTGTACAAGGCCATTCACATGAGTGGACTCCTTGCTTTTGACATGATGCTCTGTTTGGCCACCTCCATCATCAGAGCTGCCAGCAGATTCCTGCAAATCACACTGCTCACCATCGGCCTGGAATGTGATCTCCTCAAACCGCCCATGTAGCTCTGCACATTGGCAACCTTGACGGCCTGATGACATGTAGGCGTAAAGTGAACCACACGATGACACGTTGGATCCACAGTTATGGCAGTATGAAGTGTCAGGAGCTTCCTCTATGCCCGGACCAGGCCTCCAACCTGGTACCAATGCACTGACCTCACCATCAATCATGTCAGCAATTCGAGTAACTTCATGGTCAGTTATATCCAGCTCGGCTACCATTTCAGTTGCAACACTTAGTGCGGTATCAGCCTCAACGTCGAAAGGAAAATAGATGTTGCGTACCCGTCCTGCAATATGAAAAATTAGCTTTCAATAATACCAAAAACGTATTTCTTATATGGACTAATTCAGAACTTTATGCATTACAAAGTGTGCATACCATCATTATCAGAAATCCGCAATCTGAGGAATATGCCTCCATCCTCACTCTTTCTCCCTTCGATTGTTATATCCACATTGCCAAGAGGCTCATCTTCATTCTCTTTGAACAAGTCAATGCCATCTTGGCCTTTCATGTCATCATCCTCGCAGTCTTCACTCAGAGCATCTTCATCAATGCTTTCTGAGAATTCATTACTCATCATGGAGCCATTGCTATAGGTATGCCCTAAATATGAAGGCTGCCGTATATAATTAGACGGTACATGATAATCTCCACCATCCAAAGAAACAGCCACGTCATCACCCTGTAGGAAGGGATCCTCAAGCAGTTCTCTCGCTGACAGTCTCTGAGAGGCCGTTGCCAGGCACTTCTCAACGAAGCGCCTCACCATTGGATCTTTCACCTTGTACAGAGCTTCTGGCTTAGTACCCTACCAAATCAAACAGGTAGCTGAAATCAGGAAAATCATTTCAAACTGCACACCAGAGTCACAGTTGCTGCAAAATGGCTTATAGGGTCCAGGCATCTTCTTACAGAGATCACTTTCTTGTATATCTGCACCGGGTGTGTACACTCGCTGTAGGGGTACTCAAACGTGACCATCTCGAGCACGCACATCCCAAACGAGTAGATGTCCACCAGCTCGTTGTACTCCTCCTCATACACCTCCGGTGCCATGAACTCCGGTGTACCTGTCCAACCAATCCGACACATCTAGCCCCCATCAAATTACCGCATAGCTATTGCCAGTTGTGCTCAGACAACATAATTTCGGGCTAATGAGCTAATCAGATGGCTTACCCACGCAATGGACGGCGTGGGACTTACGGAGGATGGCCGCGAGGCCGAGGTCGCCAATCTTGACCTCGCCCTGGTTGCCGTTCACGAAGATGTTGTCACACTTGAGGTCCCGGTGGATGATGGGCGGATTGTGGCTGTGCAGATACAGCAGGCCGCTGAGGATTTGCCGGCACCAGTGCTTCACCGCCCATATGTTCACCCTCCGGTGCCTCTGCCTGTACCTAAATCACCACCAGACGCGTAACCACAATCAATCAGTCCAAGAAGCAACCAAGCACAGAGAGTGAGGAAAAAAATAAAGAAGACGAAACTTTTGCGACTGGCGAGGCAAAAAGGGGACTCTCTGCAACCGGACATGAAAAGGCAACAACTTTTAGGCGCTTGGCGGAGGTTGATCGCTTACTGGCGGAGGGTGCCGGAGGTGAACATCTCGGTGATGAAGTTGATGTTGCGGCGGGAGACGTCGACCCAGGAGGTGTAGAACTTCATGATGTTGCGGTGCTTGAGCGTCTTGAGGAGGTGGATCTCGCAGTAGAGCCGCTCCAGGTCCTCGGGGCTCTGCAGGAAGTCGTGCAGCTTCACCTGGTTCCACGCCACCTCCATCCCCTGGTACTCATCGAACGCCCGGTACCTGCAGTCCCCGCACACGCACCTCGGATCAGGGACTCGGTGGGCAAGCGAAATGAAAGCACGCAGCTTTGGCGAGAACAGCGCCGGATCTTACACAATCTTGGACGCGCCCTTGCCAAGAACGTCGCTGAACTGCGATAGACAAAGAGGAAAGGTGCAGGGAAACGGATCAGCGGATCGGTGAGCAGACGGATCAAAAAACGGTGATAGGAGGAGCTGCAGTGGTAGCGGCGATTCCATACCCGTCCGTACCGGCCGGTGGGGTTGACCTCCGCGTACTCCGGGCACGGGCAGACGGCGGCGTTGGTGTTGGCGCCTATCATTCTTGCAGCTCTAGCTCGCTTCTTCCCCCCTGCAGCTCCCAAAAGTACCGCCGGGGAGAGCGCACGTCCGTGCCGCAGCTTCTGCGGTTAGCAGCAGCGGATAGGGACTGAGGAGAGGGAAGGGGAAGAGCGCACCTCCGTGATGCAGTAGAGAGACACCTATTTAGGGGAATCTGGGATTCTGGGCACACATGCTGCGGGCAGAGAGAGAGAGAGGAAGGATGCAGATGAGGACTGCATGAGCAAGGCTGATTAGATCGATGCGCGTGAGATGCCACGGAAAAGCCAGATGATTTTACTGGAATTTTTTACTCAGATAAACTTGACTGTATTTTTAATTCTGATATTGCTGGTAGGGAGCATGAGATTCTAGATATGATGGTAGGTTATTAGTTCGGTGATTATTCAAACCTGACATGGTCTAGTTATTGCAGTTGCTCTTCAGCCTGTTCGATTGACCGTGCCTTGTCGTAAACGATCGTAAATTTTTAACCGGAATAATATTTTTCTCTCACACAAATCAGCCAGCAGTACTTCTTCATGAACCAGCAACGATATAAACCAGCCAACCGAACAGGCTGCTTAACAATAATCAAATAGTGCAGGTCGCTTTAAGCTGACTATTTATTATAAACATAAAAATGTGGTGCACAATAATAGGGTCACAAAAATGGTAAATAATTTCCAAAGGAAATTGTGAAAGCTACTACTTCCTCTGTTCTAAATTGTAAACTATTTGTCTTCTATAGTTACGTAGATTTTACTATACACGTAGATATATATTATGTCTACATAGTTGATAGAATCTACGTGTCTAGAAAAGCTAAAACGACTTATAAATTTAAAACAGAAGGAGCATGTGACAATTCCATTTGCTTTAGAGGTAAAGGTTACAGGTGATTTTGTTTTATTTAATTTGATCTCAAACAAACTCATCATGAAAATGGTAGCATTTTAAAAGCGGGTCATAGCATTAGAGGAGAGCTCTACTACTGATTTAGCCCATCGAGACAACTGAACTTAGCCACTATAATTTTAGTGTAGCCCGCTATTTAGGCTATGTTTGGTTGGCCGTGGCTTTTGGAGAAGCAGTTGTGAGTTGTGGCTTTTGAAAAAACAGCTATGAGATATAGGCTGTGGGAAAAGCCAAAAGCCCTTTAGTTGAGCAGCTGTAGCTTATGTACAAACTCCTCCTACTCTTTCACTTACAAAGCAGGCCCCTCCCGTCAGTCTCACACAGCTTCTTCTTCCTCTCACGGGCCAACCGCAGGGGTTGGAGTCTGGGCCGTTGGCGCATCGGGGTTGAGGCTCGGGCCTGGCGACGCATCGGGGTCAGGGCTAGGGGTGCAGCGGCGAACGTCGACCGAGGGGATGCCGGTGCATTGCGAGACGCCATCGCATCGGAGCCGCGGGGATGCCGGGTTGGGGTGGAGGACACCGGCGGAGGGACACGCACCATCGGGGTCGCGTGTAACACCCTTGGTGTTACACCTTAAATCATTTACTAAAATATGTCATATCATGAGCATCATATTTATTTGTTAATGCATGTGATAGAATATGTAGATAAATTTCTTTTAACTTAAAATGACTAATAAAAATGTTAAACAAAAGTTGATTCAATAGTTCGAGTATATCAAGTAGGGTTTAAAACTAATTTTTATTAAGCGAAAATAATATAGAACATGTGTGTGATACTTAAATAAAGTTTGAAGTACAAACTTTGTAGATAACAGTAAAATACTTGCTGTTGAAAAATGATATTGCTAGCTAGTATTTCAACTAGCATAGAAATTGCAAATTGAAATTAAGTTTAGCTCAAAACTTAGAAAATTTTCAAGTTTGTCAACAGCTAGACATTGCTATATTTAGCAAATTATTTTAAGAGATTGGGTTAAGGGGTAGTGTAGTGTTATAGCTTGATTTGATAGTCTGATATGTCCTCTTGAGCATGTTGAAAACGGTTTGGCTCTTGAAGCAACCGTTTAGTTTTTATAGGTTCTTTAAAATTCGTGCACGACTCGGTCTCGGGCTGGGTGGCCGCATGGGCGCGGTCACCACGCTCGGGCGCTCGGTGTCGCCGCGTTGGTCGCGCGTGTGCGCGCTGCCGCACGTGGCCGGTTGTGGCTGCCTCTGGCCGGGCTGTGGCCTGGCTGCCGCTGGCCCCACCGCACAGAGCTACTGTCGCCAACCCGCGCCACGACGAAGCCACTGCCGGCGCTATCACATCATGGTCGCGTTCACGCCTGTCCGCTGTACCCTCTGCACCGCTGCCGGGCCAGTTCAACGCCGCCACTGCCGCGCGCACATGTCCGAGCTCGCCATCGCCTTATCATTTAAGACACTGCGGCCGCGCGGGCCACGTCGGTCGGAAGCACGCGCGCCTGTCTGCTAGCGCCTGCACGTGGGCCTCCACGATCTCACCGTCCGCATCCCGCCAAGGCGAGGACGAGTCGAGCCACCTGCCGCGCCCCGTCTCTCTCTTTCTCTCTTCCTTCCTCCGCCACCGCCGCTGAGCCGCGCCATCAATTACCCTATGAGCGATCACCTCTATTCAATTCAGCGCATCCACGTCTTCACCATCACGTCCTCTCGCTGCCCGACCCTACCCAGCTTTGAAGCGAGCACGGCCAAACTCCAATTTGGAGTTTCTTTCGCCGCCGAGCCGATAAGGCCGCATCCGTCCGTGGATATGGGCAGCCCTCCCACCGTCCCTCCCAAACCAATTCACCTACACCACTAGCATTGCCTTGACTCCCTCTTCACCATGCGCACCTTAGCCGAATCGCTATCGCCTCCCCTTCGTCGCTGACGCGACCGTGCCACCGCGGTGCGCCGCCGCACGGCTTGGCCGCACGTGGCCAGTCATCCTCCGCCCCAACCGTCACCTCGGACTGGTACATGGTAGTCTCCTGATGCTCATGAGCTCACTAATTAGGCTTGTAGCTACCCTATCCCACCGGAACAGTAGCGCCACCGTCGTGGATGGCCGCGCGCCACTACACCCTTCCCCAGCCGGTCGTGTAACACCTTTGGTGTTACGAGCTTGCTTAGCACCGAGAAGGATTAGCGTAACAAGTTTCTGGGTTTTTAAAATTTATAACGCACCTGAGGCGAAAAATAATTTCTATGAACAAGGATCAAATATAACTTGTATTTAGTACTTAAATAAAAATTGAAGTACAAGTTTAGTAGATGAAAATGCAACTTTAACTTTTGGAAAATAGATGTTGTTAACTAGTGTTTTGGGAGCTCAAAAAACAAATTTGACGTTAAGATAAGCTCTTTTCGTTAAGTCGGCAAACACTTGAACTATTGTGTAAAATACTATTTTTAGCGAATTATATTGAGCAAAATAGTAAAATGGTGCTGAAAATTTTTGCTCCTATGGGTTAGTATAAGGTATGTGCTGTTACATGAAATACTTGTTGGTAGCAGTTAATAGAGTCTCGGCCTTTTAAAAATTATAACAAAAGTGTTAATGGTTGTTAGTTTGAATTGAACCCTAACTTTTCTAAGTATGGGAAAAGTAGTAAGACAATGCTATCTTGACATTTAAATTCTAGCTAAAATGTTTAAACACTAGCTACATGTTTTGGTATTGTTGATTGCATCGAATTGAGTACTTTAGCATGGTGAAGTCTACGGATGAGTTGGAGTTGCCGTGGCGTCGCAGAAATTGCCCTAACTTTGTTTGAACGCGTTGTCAATCTTGTTTCGGGGTTTGGTCGTGAACCGGTGTTCAGCACGATGAGATCCTGTTGGCACTTCTCTATCTCCCTCGATGCTCACTCTCCGACCATGCTCGTTGCTCGGAAGAGAAGCACTTAGTGGCTACTAGAATCTTGAATTCTTGTTTTAATCTCAACTGGGCTCTAAGCGGTTGGTTTTGACGCTTTAAAATTCATGCTTCGCACGTGGTTCGGTCGTTCAGGCCCGAGGACGCGGTCACTGTGTCTGATGTCGTGCCGTTGTGGGCTACTTGCACCGCTATCGGCCGCTGCTACCATGCGCTGCGCTGCACGTTGGCTGGCGTACTCTGTGGCCGTGACCGCTGTCGCACTGACTAGCCGTGTGGTGTCGGTTGCCCGCCGGGCCAGGAATGGCCACAACCGCTCTCCATCGTGCGTGGGACGCTACCGACCATGGCGCTGTCTAAGCGCACTTGCAGGGCTACGCCTTGTCCTCTTTGTTGTTTTGGTTACTGTAGCGCTCGCCCTCAGCCGCACAACCCACCTACCGAGCCCGAGCTCGATGTCGTACGTAGTTTATTACATCACGACGCCATACTGCTGCATGCGTGTGGCCGCACACAGGCACACCTTCAATGGCTCCCTCCAAGCGCTAACCAACGCGCTGCCTATCCTTCACTCGAGCGGTCATATCCCCATGATGCCGTGCCTCGTCGGGTCATGGCCGGGCCATCTCTGCCAGGGCTGCTTCCCGCGATGTGGCAGTGGCAGTACACCGCTCTCCCTCTCCCTTTCTTAATCACCAGCCCAAGGCTTCCCAGTCCAATTCCTCGCACCGGTGGGTAGCTTAGCAAGTTAGCTAGGTGTCGCATTCTCATCGAACCCAACCGTGGTCTATCAATGATCAATTTTGGTTTCAACTTGCCGTCAGTCATGTGTGCTACTGTGACCAGAGGGTTGGGGTAAGGCCTATAGGAGTGGTAATAGTTCGATTGCTTGTAACCCTGAGTTTGCCTTGACTCCCTCCATCCGTTGCTCATGTTATTTTGGCCAGGGTGCTCGTCGTCAGGGGGTGACGCGCCGGTGTCCATCGCAAAGCATCGCCGCCTCGCTCGGTCGCACGTGGCTAGACCATCACAGCGCTCAGCTACTTCAACCGTCAGTTGGACGTACCCCACGGTGAGCCACTGATGCTTATCCGCCACTTCTACGCTGACGAGCGTATGTAGGCTCGCCGGAATAGTCGCGCCGCCACCGTGGATAGCCGCTCATCGCTGCATCCCATGATAGTGCGCCTCCGAGTCCCTA